AAATAAAAAATGAAACTGTACATGATAGTACATATTTATGAGATAACAGTGAGGTTCTGTTTATATGCCTGGTAGTAGACAAATGATTTAGGATTTCTGTGGATTATGAGTGTCTCAGAAAGTCAGGATGGGATGCTAACCATTGCTTTACCACTAGCCAAATAACCTACAAGTCACTTAACATCTCCCCATCTTAATGTATCTTTTTCTATTTTTTTTTTATGCTGACCAAAAAGCTTTTTAGATGTAAAAGTGATAATAATATGATGAAAATGAAGAGTGACAAATCCAGTAAGATTCACAGAGCAATTAACCCTTGACAGCTGTGTAGGGTGGCTGGCTAAATATAAACACCTACACACCAGGATGGCCTGTCTCCCTTGAGACAAAAGATTGGACAGAGAAGAGAGTCTTAATGGTCATAGTGGCAGGACGCAGACAAATGCCTAGGCAGATAGGGGCAGGTTCCCAAAGAAACCCCACCTTCAAGCCAAAAACAGCCTGAAGGCTAAAACACCCAACTGTTCATTCTGGATGAAAAATGTGACACAGAGTGCGAACTTCTTTCCTGTTTTCTTGCCCTTTCCTGCTTGGTTCTTTCTGAATAATGCTTTTTAATGAATCAAATGTTTCCTTTTCCCATATTACCACAGCCCACCCCTCCCCTATTCTGTGCCTCTAAAAACCTCAGATTCAGTCACCCTGGGGGAGAAATCACCCAACCGTGGGAGTGGAAGACTATCCCATGTCCCCTCTGCTGAAAGCTATTCTGTCACTCAATAAAATTATTCTCTGCCCTCCTCACTCTTTGAGTCAGAATATCCTCATTCTTCTTGGATATGAGACAAGAGCTTGGGACATACTGAATGTGCGTATAGAAAAGGCTATAACATCGTGGCCCTCTGCCCTCTGCTGGAGGAGGGCAGAAGCCCAATGTGACAGAAACACTGGCAGGGCCTCACCTGCCTTGATGCCTTGGGCCGAGGTACAGCAAGGGAGTTTCTGACTAGGTGTTTCTGGCTGGCAAAAGTGGTGGAGAAGAGTCCTGTGTCATTTTCTGGGAGATCATCTGGGATTCCCTGAAGGGTGAGTAAATGTGGACCTACACTCTTCACTTTTTTCTGAGGCTTCTTGTCCTCACACTTTTTACTAAAGACATACGAAGGACCAAACCTCTGATTAGCTAGTTAAGAGTGAATGGCACTACTACAGAGGACAGGATGCGGGAGAGGACACTGCCACCACCATCCTCTTCACTCTTAGGGGTTGGGAGTGCCAGTTTCAGTATAATCTGGTCTTTTTTATGGCATTCTCCTTCTTCCTTTTAGGACTATCACGGCACCTATCTTTTCTTTGACAATGTTGGGGTGTTGTTGGACCCTCCCCTTGAATGCATATATCTCTATAACTATCCAGTTATAGGCATCGAAATATGTAATTCAGAACAGTCATCAAAAATGTAATTCAGAACAGTGCAGTTTTCATCTATTCTCGGAAGCAGGGAGGAGTCGGTAATTAAAAGCTGTTTTTTTTTTCCTGTTGAAGGAACCAATTTGCATGAGAGCAAGAGACTTTTTCCACAGGCATCTTCCCCTCCCTGCATTTAAACTGTTTTTACTTCTTTTCTCCACAATGCCAGGAATTAATACAGCTCTGTGAATATGAAAGCTTTGCTATGTTTCTTTTTTTTTTTTCTTTTTGGAAGGCATGTTCCTAGGCCAGGTCCCAAATTCTCAGGGACTCCCTGTTCTCTCCCTTGTTTGAGGAGGATTCAGCTCCACAGCTTCACCTTAGCTTTTGGCTTATGGTAAGAAAGCAGTGAAGGAGCAGCGCTCCTGGCTGCTGACTGCAGTCTGGCGAGGGCCACCTGGGATTTGTCTGAATGAGTTCATTCACCCTCCTGCAGTTTTTTTTTTTTTCATCCCAAACTCAATTCCAAGCTTCCAGTTGAAGCCCTAGAAAGGAAAACTGGATTTGAGGGATCCAGAGGCAGATGACAGCAGAAGTCAAGGGGCACAGTGCACATAAGTATGACTAATTCCAGCTGATTAGTGCCCCCCCACCCCCGCCCCATTTCATGGATGGAGATCATGCTCGTATACAGGGCATAGATGAGATCTAGGGAACTCAAAGGTTACTGACTGTGGGGAGGATAGGCCAGTGCATAGGTGAGTGCAGATGAATCCTACCCTGTTGGACTCCCTGTGATATGGGTGAAAACCACATGGGCACCCACAAGTGGCACCTGCCGAGGTTGCCAGGACTCAGAAATATAAGTATGGAAGAAAAAACGGGGACACATTTTTTGTCTTTCTCTCTCTCACATACTCTGTGTATTCAACGGGAAGAGAAACAAACTAAGCGACATATTTTTCCCCTGTTTCCAGATGGGTAACCAACCATCATCAGTCTGTATTTCTCTTGAATGCATCCTGAATCATTGGGACTCCTGTGGAAAAAAAACGTGCCCAATTTTTCTGTTTCCTCCTCTGTCCTCTCTTTGTGGATGAGTAATTGTGTGTCCATACCACGGGACCCTCCCCTTGAATGCATTCCTCAAACTGAGAAAAATTTAATTTCCCCACACCTTAAACCGTTTGGCTTAAAAATGAATCAGGAAGAAATTACAGATCTAACTAAGCAAATCTCTTGAGGAGGGACAACTTTTACAGTATGCAAATAAAACCTCTTTGTCTGTTCTCCCTTTATGGGACTCCAGGGTCAAAAGGGCTCCATAGATCAAGGGAAGGAAACCCAGCAGCCTGACATGCTGGCAAAAGAGTAAAAGCTCTTACCAGTCAGACTTCTGGCCTCTCTCTCTCTGTGCAAACTGGTCATAGGTGTGGTAAAAAATCACTGTTTACATCCTCTGTAAAGTTTTGATTAATGGAAATAAGAGTTTGTGAGCTATTCTTATGCAATAGCCAATTTGGTGTGATTTGTGTGTCTTTCTTTATGGTTCTCTCAGAAAGAGGGGTACCTTAGGATAGAGTGCGGGCCTAGGACCCCATAAGCTCACTATTGAAGCCAGCCTAACAAACTGGTTAGTAAAAACTTCGCTACAGCTCTCTGAAGAAACAAACAAACAAACTGGATGTGGTCTCCACCTTGTTTTCATCCTTGGGAGCTTGACCTTGTAACTATGTGGCAGTCCTTTCTTTCGGTCTCTGCCATTTTATAATGACAGCCTGGGTTCAACCCTGGCTTAGGAAATGACTACTTTCTGGTTAACACCTGTGTGACATTCGCTGATTCTCTTCCCTTCCATGAATGACTTCTAGATTCCTTTCTTAAATCTTTCTTTCTCTGAGCTACCATTGAAGATTCTAGATATTGTAAAAACTCCTTATCACCTCCTTGAAAAATACCTCATACACTCGCACTTAAGTCACAACTATAGGTAACACTTGTTGGTTTCACCTGTGAGGTTACTTTTGGTAAAGTTCAAAAGCGAGAAATATCAGTCACTTGGTGGGGCTAAAGTAATGTAACAAGGGATTTTAAATAATTTTTTTAAAGAGTACCATGTTTAAAAGTCAGCTTAATTAAAAATGGATATCTAGGCTATCGGTATATTTAAAGGGTCTTTATGTTTTTTTTCGTTTATTTTCTTGGATCTTGTTTTGCTGGAAAAAAGGTTTTTTTTCTCTCAGTCAGCTGAATTATCTTTATTCACTTTTAATGTATACACGAGAGGTCCTAACATAACTTCTGATAGCTTGGGACTCCTTGGAAGAAACAAAGAAGGCACCAGAGACCCAATTTTGTAAAAAATTATCTGTTTTCCTCGTGGAACCCCAAGAATTAGAAGTGGATAGATCTCTCTAAAAATCTGTTTTTTTTTTTTTTTTTTTTTTTTTTTTTTTTGAGACGATTCCTCTGCCCAGCTGGAGGCAGGGCGATCTCGCTCACTGCAAGCTCCCCCCGGTCACCCATCTCCTCCTCAGCCTCCGATAGCTGGATACGCCCACAACCGCCCGCTATTTTTTTTTTAGTAGACTTACCTGGTTCATCTCCTGACTGTACCCCCTCGCTCCAATGCTGATACAGCGTGACCACCCGCCCTAAAATCTGTTTTGTCTTCCAGCTATACTGCTTATAACCTAAAACTGAATGTTCTAGCCTTTCTGAAGGCTTCACAATGAGGCCAATAATTTAATTAAGAGATTGGCAAATAAAAACCGTACAACTACTGGATCTTCTTCTGTCTGTCTGCATATATGTTTTATGTGTGTGGTGTTTATATATAAAAGAGCTCTAAGCAATTGGCGTACAGAAAAATAAGTGCTTAGAACAAATATTTTTAAATAAAAAGCAAGGTGTAATGTCTTTCAGTTCACATGATTTTACTATTTGAAAAATAAAAACAATTTTAAAGATTATTGGTAAAATACAAATGTTTTCAAAATGTGAACATGTGGTCTAAATCATGTTCAGATATTAGGTTTGCTAAATGCTTTAAAGTAACAAACTGTTTCTTTGGCTTTTGAAAATTGTTCAATTTGCCTGCTTTACAGTTTGGTAAGGCCTGAGGACATATGAAACTAACCACACCTCCAACTATGCTGGAAAAAGTCAGACCTTATGTGCAACTAGTATGTAATTAAAATACCTTACCAGGTTTTACATTAAAATTAAAAATCGCTAAGAGTTACCATTATTACATGTAATTGTTATACTGAGACTACTGAAAATAGATTTACATTCAAGGTATATAAGGAAAGTAAAATGTGTTTTTAGTAAAAGATTATAAAAAGGCATGAGAATGTAAATTTTTGCCTAGTTAGAGGGTTAAAGAATTGTCTTAAATTAGATAAGATAAAGTTGAAGGTTTAAACAAGTTATGAAACATTTGTAAAATTTAATCTTAGAAAAGAAATCCTGTGTGTGAACATATTGACAAAATTCAAAAGAGTATTATATGGTTTTTCTGTAAATTGAGCATTGAAATGAAAACACAAGGTTTTCTTAAGGCATTGATCTGCTCTTTAACAAAAATTTGTAAAGGATTATAAAAGGTTTATAGGAATCTCACCTCGTAGCCAAACTGATTAAGATTGTATAGTATTATCTATAAGGTTTCATTTAAAAATTGGGGTTAAGATTGATAGTAGACTAATGCAAGGGTGAAATTTGGCTTTCTCTCCCTTGAACAAGATTTTCATGTAATAGTAAAGGATAATGAATGATTTTTGTTTGCCTTGTGAATGACCTACTGAAAAAGAAGATAACAAGAAACAAATTGTTTGGAAAGTTAAGTCTTCCATCTTAATGAGTAAAGGTTTTTGCCTTGTTTTAACATATTTGAGTCATATTTTGACTAAATGAATAACTTAAGGTAATCTGGAGTTATATTTAATAATATGAAGTGTTTTAAATCTGTAACATACTTAACAGGCTTCCCCAAATCAAACTTCAGCTTCAAAAGTTTTTTTTTTCTGACCCCTAACTTTTGAATGCTACAGAGGGCCCCTGGAGCATCCAAAAGAGAGGTGAACAGGGCTATTTCACACGCTTAGTTACATGGGATTGCCAAAATAAAAATAAGGTTTAATCTTCCTCCAGCTATATTTTAGTGAATAATGTTAGTATGTTTCAAAATTGTATGGCATTTATAAAATTCTGATATCCAAGTATATGCTACCAATCATAATAAAGCTTGTAATGTTAAGTTATTGTAAACCAGATATAACCAAATTTCTTTGTCAATCATGTTTTTGACTGTAACTCCTCTGGACATTTTGTAACTCACAGAAAATTGCTGTCTTGCTTTAATCCTTTACAAAAGATGGTTTATAATCAGCTGGAGGACTTCGGCAGGTACTCTCAAATGCAAGTTTCTGATAACTTTGGATATTGTGATAACGGAATAGAGGAAAAATACACAGGACTCATGAAGAGCTGCAATGTTCATGAATATCAAGCAGAGAAAAAGTAAGTGGGATTAATTAAATAGAAAACTGTAGTAATCCTTTTTAACTTTTTCTTAAAACATTGCTGAACCTTGTTTTATTTTTCAGAATCGTCTAATAATCTAGTTTGTCTCTTCTTGCCTTCAGGCCATCAAACTCCAAATGGTCATGCAACTGGAGCCTCATATTATGGCTGCCATTTACCAGAGACCCTTAGATAGGCATATGAGAGAGATCTGACTGCCCTCTTTCCAAAACAACTCACCTGTCAGCAGAAAGCAGTTAAGAGTGATCACCATCCTTTTCCTAAGGGCAGTGTACCTCTTGATAGGGGAAAATTAATAGTGGCAGGAGGCAGACAAATGCCTAGGCAGATAGGGGCATTTCCCTGATAAAACCCTACCTTCAAGCCAAAAACAGCCTGACTGAAAGACCAGACTGCTGGTTCCTCATGAAAAACATGACCTGGAGTGAGAAATTCTGTTTCTGTTTTCCTGCCATTTCCCAATTGGTTATTTCTCAATAATGCTTTTTAACCAATTGAATATTGCTTTTTCCAAGACTACCTATGGCCTGCCCCACCCCCATCGTGTGCCCATAAAAACTCCAGACTCAGACACCCTGGGGGAGAAACCACCTGACTTCAGGGGTGGGGGACCACTCTTGTGTCCCCTCTCCCCTGAGAGCTGTTCGTTGTTCAATAAAATTATTCTTCACCCATGTCACTCTTTGTTCATTAGCATATCCTCATTCTTCTTGGATGTGAGACAAGAGCTCAGGACCCACTGAACTTGTGTACAATGAAGGCTGTAACATCGTGCCCTCTGCCCTCCACTGGCAGATGGTAGCCGCCCCATGTTACAGAAATGTTGGCAGGGCTGAGCCAGCCCCATAGCGCAGGCCAAGGTTAGGCCAGGGTATTGTCAGTTAGGTGTTTCCAGTTGGTGAAAGTGATTAAGATAAGTCCTGCATCAATGACAGATTAGATACTGTCTATTCTATGTATCTCACATGTAAGGAGCTCTGTAAGATAAATTTTTATGTTATTGTCTACAGAAAAGCAACCCTCTACTGTGAATATACATAGAAAAGTGTCCTCACTGTGACACATCATGGGTGGACCAGGAAATCATCATCTTTAATGTGAACATTGGAGTCTATAGATATGTAAGTTTACACATTTTGTTCCTGGTCAAATTAATCAGTCAAAAAGTTTGAAGATTGTGATATTCATAATTAAGATTTTACAATTAAAATCAGCGTGAAATTTGCTAAGAGAAATCCTAAGATATAATGGGAAAAATGCAAAGATATTTTGAGGAAAACACCAGGCAATATTAAATTTCTAGTGTCTATGATTTTTCCCTAGAAAAAGCATGTTATAAATGATCCATTCATATTATCAGTTTGAATCATTTCCTTTAGTTTAGATTGACGGTTTCCTTTTCTCACAACCCCAATCCTAATACTTTTCAATAGAGGCAATTTGTAAAGACATGCCCTGAGGAAAGTTATATTAATGCACCATGCTTTCCTAGTATTTAAATCAAAAACAGCCTTCTATTATTTGACAGAAAAGGTAATGAATAAAATAACAGCAGGATGAAAGAAACACTTTCTAGGAGGATATAGCTATTGATAACACAGAAATAACTTCGTATCTTTGACAGTCAATATGGTTCACAGTTAAAAATCTTATAATGTATTTTGTGGGATTAGAGATGAAAGAACTGATTCAGTTCCTACTTTGCTGAGCTGTTTTTGTTTTATTCAGCTTTATTGACTTCTTTTTCCTACACCTTCTCCCCTAGATTATTTCTTTCAGCCCTCAAGAATCAGCTCCAGTGTCATTTTCATTCTGAACGCTTCCTATTCCTCCCCAGGTTGTATTGGTTCCTCTTAAATTTGTGCTCTCACATCACATAATATTTCTTGTACTGCATTTGTATTAGCCAATATCAAGTTAGGAAAATATACACAATGCTACTTCTTTCAAATGGGAAATTGAATACCAGGAACTAGTTTTAATGTGCTGAAAGAACTGGATGAACAATAGAAGGTTAAGCTCTCTCACCAGTTGGTGGCTGATTCAAATCTAATGATTAACCAATCAGCTGAATGGGAGATCAAGTAAAAATGTATCATAAGCCAAGAAAGATTTACCTCAAAAAAGATTGCCCAAAGGGACTAAACTAAGTTAAGGCAAAAATACCAATGGCTTCACTTTACAAAATGGAAACTCTACCCTTAGCACAGTAGTCATTAGCATACTTGAGTCTTCCTCCTCTGAGTGTTCCATCTCAGAGATATTAACATATTTAGACAGAATATCCAACATAATTAACATAGAATAGAGTGGTGTGAGTTATTAAGAAAAATATTCTAATGTGTATGAGCTTTAGAATTAGAAAGGTTGGTTAGTTTGCTCTATTCTTGAAACTCAAATGAGGAAATACAATTTGTGTCTCAGAATTGCTGGTAAGATTGGAGAACATAAATTCAAAAAGAATAGTATATAGTGTGTGCTCAGTCACTGAAAGCTACTCTTTATATTACTATTTTTCATTAAAACTCTCTGTTTCCTTTTGCTCTGATTCTGTCTTTAGAAATTCACATTTAGGATGATTCATTTGCTTTCTGGATATGTTGATTCTGATCAACTATAGCCATACATGTAATTATTTTCACACACAGATTATCTTTTGATTCCTTCTTATTTGGATCACCTTCAAGCTATAACCAATATTTCTGAGTGAACTGAGAACCTATCCTACTTTTTGGTTGGCCCTGCTTGATGACCAAATCTAGGGTATGATGAATTCACCTAATTAACCTACCTTACACACAAATGGTGACAAATCTGTCTGCTTCTTTTACTTTGCAGGCATCATCACCTCATTTATTCTTAATTTGACAAGTTGCTCCCTTTTTTAAAAATTCAAATTTCATCAGTATCCAAGATTTCTTTCACATGACAGTGATATTTTTTGTTCTCAGAGCATGCCCATAGGGTGAGTAACATTGGCTTTGATTAATAGAAATAGAGACAGAAATTTTATTTTTGAAGAGTAAGTAGCTTTTTAAAGTATAACAAAATGTATTTTTGCAAAATATCATTTACCAATAGTTAATTAAAAATACATAAAATACTTCAAAACATCCTGCACAAAAAGAGCATACAAATTATATTAATAACAATTTTAGATATAAAAATCCTTTTAAGAACTTACTACACTAAAATGTTCAAAACCAAAGAACAAAAACATTAAGTAAATTGAAACACTCTTTGCAAAGATTATAACAGTGAAGAAATTATGACAGCAAAAGAGATCTGACCTATCTGACTTCATCTTGCCTATAACCTCCAACCTGTCCTTATTCATTCTTGGGTGTAGGTTGAATTAACTTTGAGAAGAACTTAGTCTATAGTTTAACATTGACACAAAGATGATACCATTCCCTCCCCCAAAGGAACCCCACTTTACTTGAGGACCAGATCACCTCTGTAAAACTAACAAATTATCCGCAAGACTAGAAATTATGGCTCAGGAGTCATGCAGCCAGAGGCCACAAGATTCCTCATCTCCCTAATTACTCCTGTGGATAACATTACTGTTTTAAAGCCTAGGATTTATCTTCAAGATATTTTTCAGACCCTGTATTCTCATGGATCAGCCAGCACCACCCAGACTAATAAACTAGTTCCTCTTGTCTTGTAGTCCCCACCCAGAAACTGACTCAGTGCAGGAGAATAGCTTTGACTCCCTATAATTTCATCTCCAGCCCAACCAACTGGCATTCCATGTTCCCGGGAGTCTCTCCTGCCAAACTATCTTTAAAAAACCCTATCCTCTGAGTTTTCGGAAAGGCTGACTTGAGTAATAATAAAATTTTGGTCTTTTAGCCAGCTCTATGTGGATTAAACTGTTTCTCTATTGCAATTGCCCTGTCTTGATAAATCAGCTCTATCTGGGCAGCAGACAAGGAGAAACCATTGGACAGTTACAAAACCGCTTAATGGTGTATGATACCATAATTTTATTTCTGTAACACTGCAGGCAGATTTTTGTGCTAGGAAAAAAATGAATAAAAATGTAGATTAGAACATAAATAAAAGCAATGGGTGTTCATCAATTTCTGGTTAACTAAAACTTACCTTTGTATGGACTGGATGCTTTTAAGCATCAATTGTGTTGATAAAAATTTTATTACATATTATTAATACTTTTTACTTCAGCAAAAATGCTTTTTACTGATATTTCAGAATCCTGTTGTACATTTGTCAAATTTATAAACACCTGATTAACTTTTCAAATTTAACTATCAATGTCACCCTTCAGATGTGGTTTTCATTAAAATTCCTTATAACATATTTTACCCCAATGAACCTAGGACCTAGAATAGGGAAGACACTAAAATCTACTTAGATAATTGGTCTTAGAGATACTTTATTCAGAAAGTGATTATTGAATGCCTAGTATATTCCTAGCTTTGTCTAGATAAAGCAAAACAGATATAACTCCTCTCTTTGGGAGCTCCACATTGTAGTAAAAAGCTTGAGTACTGCTTCTGAATCACTTATGAGCATTCATTTCATTTTACAATGTGAGTATAGATGTCTATTTCCTCTATGAGAGTAAATAAAACCTTTCTTTATGCACATCATTCTTTGGATTCTCATATGACAAATTTTATTTTATATTTTATTTTATTTATCTTGAGATGGAGTCTCTCTCTGTTGCCCAGGCTGGAGTGCAGTGACTCCATCTTGGCTCACTGCAACCTCTGTCTCTGGGATTCCAATGATTCTCCTGCCTCAGCCTCCCAAGTAGCTGGGATTACAGGTGCCTGCCACCACACCCAGCTAATTTTTATATTTTTAGTAGAGACAGGGTTTCACCATGTTGGCCAGGCTGGTCTCGAACTCCTGACCTCAAGTGATCTGTCCACCTTGGCCTCTCAAAGTGCTGGGATTACAGGAGTGAACCACTGTGCCCCTCTTGGAAAAAGTTTTAAATATAAAATAATTTGACAAGGCCTAAATTCTGATGTATTTAGTTCCTATTTTCTATTATGACAATGTCAAGTGTTCATTTTTGCGTCTCAGTTTTCCCAGTATACCTTCTGCAATTTTGTAATCTGGTTGGCTTTTTCTGTGACACTTTGCTACAGTGCTCTGTTCCCCTTTACTGTTTTTTGTCCTTTGCTACTTCCTCCTTACTAAAAGGCTAATCATCAAGGACTTTCCTACCTTTCTTTTTCTGGTTCATATGTACTTTGATTGATTAATCTTAACACTTCCTTAAACACTGAGTTTTTAACAAGTAAATGAATATCTTTTGCATTTATTTCAGTTTTGTTATGAAAATCAGATCTTCTTTGCAACAATACCCTCTTATTGAATACCATATAGAACTCCTCAAAAAGCTGATGGTTTCTGTTTTAAAAGTGGTAATAAAATACATTGATAAATCCATACTTTCACCAGAATGGATCTAATATGTTATCAATTATCACCACTGAAATCATTGAAATCTGCAAGATCATAGTTAAAAGTATTTGATGTGGTGTGCCAATTTATAATCTAAGGATCAAACTTAAAAAATCAATTTCTTGCATGTTGATGATAAATTAAATTTTATATAAACACATGGAGCTTATAACTTAAAAAAACTAAATAATAAAAATGAAGATATTTAAGTATTCATTGATGTGCCTGTTACCTTCAATGTAAACTATATATAATTAAGAATTTAGCTATTTATGTGTCTTGCAAATCAGATGCTATTAAAAAACTGTTGTCTATAAACCACATTATTCTTAACTCAGTAATAAGTTAATGATAACAAATAATTCAGGTTCAGAAATTTTTTACTAAATAGATTATTTTTTAGAACACTTTTAAGTTTGAAGAAAAATTGTACTGTCCGGTTATATGGCCTTGACCAAATGCATACATGGCTTTGACCAAATACATGCATAATGCCATGTATCACCATTATATTATTATACAGAACAGTTTCGGTATTATTCTTAAATTTCCCGTGATCCACCTATTCATTCTTACTTCCCCTCTCTCGACAACTATTGATCTTTTTGCTTTCCCTATAGGTTTGTCTTTTCCATAATGTTATACAGTTTGAATTGTATACCATGTAGCCATTTTGAACTGGATTCTTTCACTTAGCAATATGTATATAAGGTTTCTCCATGTCTTTTGTATTTTGATAGTTCATTTATTTTTAGCACTGAATAATATCCTATTGTATAGATGTACTATAGTTTGTTCATTCAAGAACCTATAGAAGGATATCTTGGTTGCTTCCAAATTTTGGTAATTGTGAGCAAAGTTGCTAGAAATATTTACATGCAGGTTTTTGTGTAGACATAAGTTTTTAACTCACTTTGGTAAATACCAACGAGTGCAATTAATAAATCATATGGTAAGAGAAGAAGGCATAAATCATATGCCTTCAAAGAGGCTAAATCATTTTGCATTCCCACCATCAATGAATGAGAATTCAGGTTGCCCCACATCCTTGACAGAATTGGTATTCTCAGTATTTTGGATTTTAGCCATTCTAATAGTAGTGTGCTGGTATCTCATTGTTGTTTAAATTTGTATTTATTTAATGCTGTATGATGATGAACATCTTTTAATACACTTATTTGCCATTTGTATATCTTCTGTGGTATCTTCTCAGATCCTTTGCTAATATTTAAATTGGGTTGTTTGATCTCTTATTGTTTAGTTTTAAGAGTTCTTTGTATATATTGGATTCAAGTCGTTTATCAAAAAGATGTTTTGTAAAATCTTTTCTCCTAGTATGGGATTTGTCATTTCATTCTTTCAACAGTGCCTTTCATAGAGAAGTAGATTTTTAATTTTAATTGTCACACTTAACTTTTTTCTTTCATGGATCTTGCTTTTGGTGTTGTATCTACTAACTCACCATGACACTCAAAGTAGCTTAGATTTTCTTGTTTTCTTCTAGAAATTTTCTGGTTTGTGATTTTCCATTTGGGCTTATGATCCATTTTGGCTTATAATGTCAGTGTCTAGATTCATCATTTTACATGTGAAGGTCCAGTTTTCCTCAGCACCATTCACTGGAAGGACATGTCCTCACTCATTTGACAGAGATCAGTTGACTGTAGTTCAGTAGGTTTGTTCACAGACTTTCCATTCTGTTTTCTTCATCTGTTTGTCTATCCTTTCACCATCACCATACTGTCTTTATTCTTACAGCCTTACAGTAAGACTTAAAGTCAGGTAGTGGCAATCCTTCAACTTTGTTCTTTAATAGTGTGTTGACTATTCTGGATTTTTTGCCTTTCTCAATAAACATTAGAATTAGTTTTTCAATATCCACAAAGTAACTTACTAAGATTTAAATTAAGTTATTATTTCTCAATTATTTTTAAAAATCATTTTCAGAAATATAATTATTATACAAAAATAGTCAGATATAAATATATGGCATGTATTGCTCAGAAAATCAAATTTACATACTATCTAAAATAGCTAGATAAACTTTTTCCACCAATAAACAACCTTGTTCATTAGGTAACAATGAAGGACGATAGGCTTTTCTGTGTTGGTGGCAGTCCCATTGTGCAGCATTCTCTCTTAATACTAATCATATGAACAACAGAAAGGGATAAAAGAATTCTCCTTCATTACTTATTGACTACTGTCACTTTCACAGTATTCTAAATAGCCTGACATCGATGTTACAAAAACCAAAACAAACGAAACGAAACACAAAAACCAATATGTGTTCTGAAAGGTAATCAATTGTTCCTAATAACAGACATTATTTCCAACACAATCTCTAGAAACAATTTGCAGTTTGAACCATACTTTTGAATACTGTTTCCTGAAGTCTGTACAGGATTTATTTCTATCCCATCATTAATAATTATTACACTTGTAATTTCAAGCACTTTCCGCTCTACAAACTTCGGTGAAAAGTTCACCTTTCAGACACTGAGTATTTTGTACAGCAGACATGGTCCATCATCAGCATAATCTTGAAGGAAACATGTCACATGGTGGAGCCATTG